AGGAGCGGGGACGGGGAGGCGCCAGAAACCTAATCGAGTTCGGTGCGGACCACCTTATCCCGACCGCGCATCTCGCGACGTAACGTCCAGCGTCCTGCGAATCCAATTTGTTGGCTCGTTTGCCGCTTCTCGGGGCCACTCCCGTGATATTCTTAGCGGAATTCCCACCGACAAACTCGAATAATTGTCCAACTCGGTAGTACGACTCGTCTGATTCTCTCCAAGTAAGTTATACAGGGTGTTCCGGATAAGGTGTCCATCCGCTCGTATGTAGATAGAGGGGGTTAAACGGAAAAGAAAAGTTACGTACCATTTTGTAAAATTCCCAATAGTTATCGGGTAATCAATTAAAACGTCTGAGCGAATAAGCGCGAGGAAAGCGGTAGGCCGGACTCGGCAGATATTAAATGACTAATTTGTTTAGTCTCGTAGCGGTGAGGGACGAGCGGTGAGTCGCTCCACCTCCTGCTATCGGACGCCCACCGTTGCTTCTCGTGCGTTTATTCGCCCAGACGTTTTTATTTATCACTCGAAAACTATTGCGAATTTTACAAAATGGTACGTAATTTTTTCGAGCGGATGGACACCTCATTCGTAACACTGTATACATACATGAAGAAGATTCTTAAAATTTATCCTAAAATTCATGTAATTGTGCTCTCTAAAAATCAGACAGTGATTTATCACTGGAAATAGTGAATAGTCACTGATTTGCAGTTATAAGTATGCTACTGAAAATTGCGGTACACTTATAACTGTAAATCAGTGGCTATTCAAAATTTTTAGTGATAATCCACTGCTTGACTTTCAGAGAGTGGGATATGGCAGCTCGAAGAATTGTATGAGAGTTTTTGGAAATTGTACCATACATTTTACTAGTAAAATGTATGATATTAGAAAATTTCAAAAACTCTCATAAAGTTCTTCAAAATGCTACGTAGTCCCACGATTACATGATTTCCACGGTAAATTTTAAGAAAAAATTCCCTCCGTGCATATGACAATGGCTTACTGATATATTTCTGATTTTATTCAATTTAATTGACGCAAAATTCCGAGCGACATATCCGAGAAGGAATGAGAAATACATTCTTCTACAAGATTTCTTTGAACAAATAAGTTTTTGCTTAGCCGCATCATTTTCGCAATTGGAATCTCTTGGAATCATGTACGAGTCCCCGCTGCCTCTTTTTTAGTTCTGTGTTTACGTGAGATAACATATTAAAAAGAATAATTATCCGCGATTCCACTTTATTCGTTCATATGTCCTTTCTCAAAAATGCGTATTTTTATATTAATTATTTATTTTCGTTTTCGATGTGTTTCATATTGTCACATATCTCGCAAAGTTCAATCTGTCGAGATTCATTGAAGTCCTCGAAAACCTCGTTGAAGTCTCCGAGAGAACGACGTTGTTCATTCGCTAGGACCGTTAAGAGCGCTCTCAGAGCGAAGGAATCTAGGTCGAACTGTTAACGCGTGAAAAGTTTAACGTTACAGAAATATTTGCTGAAAAAACCACAAGTTTGATGGGAACATCAGCTCCATTTTTCGCGAATATACCAAAAATACAAGACGCCGCTACAGGTAGCGAGAATAGAAGTGAATCGATACTCGCGCCTTAAAACCGCTCACCGACGCGTCAACCTTAATCTAGGGCAACCTTCCGATCTGGGACACGTAAAGATCTGAGAAGACGATTACATGCGACCGAAGTGTATGCACGACTTACGTAACCCTCGCAAAGTAAACATTAAATTAACTTGCATAATGCTTTATCACAGCGAGAAACTAAAATGATCCCGAGATGAGTTGTTATCTTATAATTAGACATGAGAAGTCAGAGTTCGTCACACTGAAATAATGTTTTCTCTGCTTTTACCTCTGAATGTAACAAGATACTTTATTTTTCATGCTGTTTACATTCCAAGGTAAAATGTCTCGGGAATCATGTTTATTTTACCAAGCGTCTGTTAAAATATTCCACAGTGAGTCCGATTAGTTTACCAAAGCATCCTCTCGTCTTGATGGCAAATCGAAAAACTATGCTTTGATATTTTTTTAAGAAAAGAACCATTTCATTTTTCTGCGCGAAGAGAATTTTCTCTTAAAGTGTACCTTGAAACTCGTTTAATCGTGACATTTTGAAGAACTTTATGAGAGTTTTTTGAAATTTTACCATACATTCTACTAGTAAAATGCATATTAATAATTGTAAGTATAATTAGAGAAAAGTCCCCTATTATGAGACCGGCTCCTAATATGAGACGGAGGAGTTTCTACGAAATGAATAGGCATCATCTGTTGGTTCCACCATGAATTTATTGCCCTTGGAGTGAGATCTGTTTAATGAAAAATTCATTGTATAGATTGTGTAATCGCCACGAAAGAAGATTGTGATTGAATTTGGATGTTGAAAACCTGCCATCTCATATTAAAAGCCTATTTCATAATAGGAAACTTTCCTCTACTAGTAAAATGTATGGTAAAATATCAAAAAGCTCTCAAGGTTGTTGGAAGTGTCCCGTTGTCCCACGATTACATTATTTTCAGGATCAATTTTAAGAGCAAATTCTCTTCGTGTGGGTTCAAGAGAATGTTGAACGCGCTTTTGCCCTAATCTACGATATACGATCTAAGCCCTAAGAAATAGACCAATTACAGTCGAAAGTAAGAAGAATACTCGACTGCGATCGGTCAATGTTTAGGGCTGAGGGCTAAAATCACCTATTGTAGATTGGGACTGTCGCGATGAATGTGCAACGCGCAAAATGTAAATCCATTTTTGTTCACAATGACGAAAAGCAAACTAACCAGATCGCCACGTCCCTATTAAACCTCGCGTTTCCGGATTACGCCAGCAGAATTCGCGCGATCGCGATCCAACCGATTGTTTACACGGCGCGAGAAATCGTGTTATTCGTGCGCACCCCCATACATCTCGTTTGATTAATCGATACGGCGCAGGGGAACCGGCGGCGTTATCGATGCGGCGCGCTCGTTAACGGGGCCACGATCGATATCTGCGGAACGAACGAGCCGCGGGCCGGTCGTTACCAGGAAACACCCGGTACAGCGGACGTGGGGGATGCCCCCGGAGCATCTCGCTCGCCCCAGCCCCACTGCGCGCGGCGTGCCCTTCCCTCTTCTCTCGGGCTGCACCCTAATATAAATATTATTACACTTTGATGGGGTTACGGTGACACTGGGGCCCCGCAGACATCCCATGAATGCCTCGCTCCTCTCGCTCGCTTTTTCATTAGGCCCGAATCCCACGTGGCGCGTGCCGCACGACAATGTTCTTAAAGGCTTAAGCTCTTTCCTCGCCCGCTCCTCCTCCTCCTTCCTCCGCCGACCAACCCTTTGCAGTATCATGCGGTATGCGTTACCGATCCGAGCCGGTCGCCACTTCGCTCCCGAGCGTGTCGCGGATGAACGAAGAGGATATAAGCGATCCCGTTGTAATCTTGATATCGAGCGATCCGAGAATGAATTTATAAAGGGTTGACATTTGCACCCCCTCCCTCCGATCGCGTGTCACCTATATCTTATTAAAGCATTTTTATTCGACTTCAGATACGGATCATTATAATAATATGTCATTTTCAAAGCTGGGAAGTAACTCATTACTTTTAACGAGGTTATAGTTACTTTTTCTTTTTTCGTAACTATACCTTAACTTCGTTACTTTCTCTCTCCGTCTGTAACTATAACTTAACTCAGTTACATTTTTTCAATAACTAGTAACTAATTTAATAGTTACATTATAAATATTTTAAACCTCCACAGATAGCATCAGGCCTTGCATTTGCGCATAAATATATAATAACGCCTTTATCGACGCTCTATAATTCAAATGTAGATTTGATATTTTTATTTTTATTGCAAGAAAGTGACTGCAAAGTAACGATTTGTTTCTGTTTGAGTAACTGTAACTGTAACGCGTTACTTTTCAGAATTGGTAACTTGTAACTGTAACTTTTTAGCAAAAAAACTGTAATTGTAACTAGATACTTTTATAAAGTAACTTTCCCAACCCTAGTCATTTTCAGTCAGAGCTGGGTTTTCGTAGATTAACAATAATTCTGTGCGAATTTTGTATACCGTTTCCAAAATGCGCGCCGATTTTTCGTCGATCTTACAACACAGACTTTTATTTGTTGGAGCAGTAAATAAATTCACGTACTCGAATCGATAAACAATATTTAACTTTAAATGCTGATAAATAATTGATGCAGCCTATTTAAAAATCAGATTTAAAGAATTTGTCGCGGAAAATATCGCCCAGGATTTGGACTTTTTCTTCACCTTCGAGTACTCGCTATCGCTGACACTTTAGAATGAAAGAGACGCTTATGAGAATCGAAATTTTTTGAACGGGCAAAACTGGAATCTGGAAAGCAGAAAGAAATAGGGTCCAGAAGGATCGGTTGTTCGTACGACTACACAGTAAAAAATAAAATGTTAATGTTAACATATTTTACATGTCCACTCTTAATTTTAAGTTAAAGTAACAGTCATCACGTGTGTTACTGTATGAGAAATTATCAATGTTAATTAATTAACACTATGCTTCACATTTACGTGTGCTCTTTTAATCTTAAGTGTGGCGTAATAAAAATAAACAGAATAAGTAAACAACTGTACGAATAAAAAAAAATACAAATTAGAATAGTTAAAATAATTTTTAAGAAATGTCGGTATTACATGGTCGATTTTGTGAAATAGTTGTGTTAAAAAAATTCAAAATGATATTCAATTTTTAAATGACTTACATAAAATGTCTCAAGTCGTTATGTTAACATAAATATAACACATAAAAATGTTACGAAAATAATAACATATCTATTTTGTGTTAATTTTACATTGAAATAATCGAATCTTACTTCTGAAGTAACACAAGAAAATTTTTACATTTCAACACACGACTTTTTACTGTGTATATAAACATTCGAGTGATAATCTGCAAACTGAGGCGTGACATGAAGTGCGACACGTGGTATTCTTCGGTAACAATGACATCTTTAATAACCGGTTCAACAACATTACAGTGTCATAGGATTTCAATTACATACGCATTTCGAATTACTTGGGTTTTCATCAAATAAATATACATACATGTGTCTTTGCGTGTACTGAAGGTATGTATGTGTCTGTTTCCTATATCCACATGTTATGTAATGTATGCATGCGTGTCTTCTCGCGCGCGCGCGCGCGCGCGCGTGTGTATGTGTGTGTATGTACACGCAAAGTGCGGATGTATTGCAGTTAAGTTACGCTACGCTTACGGATAATCTCGGGATGCGCGATCGCTTCTTCATCGCGCATGGATAATATGCGTTATGCACGGATAATTAGATACATATAATCCCGGTGACCGTCTCTCTTCGTTCCGCCTCCCTTTCCCCCTTCGCCGCTTACGCATCCCTTATGATATGTGTTCGCGTAATCGCGATGTTCCGTCGTGACGGATCTGCTCCGGCCGCCGTTTCTTCCTTCTCGCAACATTTGGGGGGATTGGACTTGGTTTCGAGGTGAGAAAAATATCCTTTGGAAACCAGCGCCCGTGTGACTTTCCACTCGAAAACGCCGCTCCCGATTAGTGCTGAGCAAGGTTTCGATATGCAGGACGCGCATTGCGCTCCGTTCGTCCCTTGGGAAAATATACCTTAGAAAACCTTGAAATTTTTTCATTCCAATTTTCATTCGACCACAGCTGGTCTCGTTTGTTAATTAACCGGTCGATGCAGAAAATTTAAAATTAAAAAATTGTCTGCACTGACCGATCAATCAACAAATGTGGCCAGCTGTGGTCGAATGAAATTTGGAATTTTATTGTTATACTGGCAATTCGAAGAAACTAATGTTAAAATTTTACTTTAGAAACATAAGAAATTTGAAAAGTAAATTTGGACACCTTAAACTTTAAGAATTGTGAAAAGTATGCGATACAGTTTACAATACCGCGTGCGGTTTTCTCCTTACGAGAAAGTGCTATGTCGAACTTCGACAGGCTTGGCTATCTAAAAATTACTTAAAGTGTCCAAAATTACTCTAAAATTTCTTAGATAAACTCTTAGCTTTGAATGATTACTTTAAAAACTTTAATTTCGTTTAAAGTAAATTTTCCCAAGGGGTCTTGCACGACGTACGTTACCGAGGAAGCTACTTACACATCAGCGATTTAGAATGTATCTTGATGACTCAAGACCCCGTTTCCGTAATTTAGAATTTTTCTCAAGCGCGGGAGAAGCAACGAATTATCCGCAAATTGTCCGATAACGATCTACGGGTCAATATGTGGAGGTTTTTTAGGAATCTTCTGTACACAATAAAGACAATGCTCGCCGCAATTCTTCCGCTCCGACTTAATAATTATAACAAACGATACATCATGTAATCGTTGAAACTTAACAAAATTTGTGTACGTGTACGATAACAGTAAGCTTGTCATCATATATTATATAATCAGCTGAGGATCTTAAAAGCAAAATGAAATCGGCGACGTTTCTTCATTCGTGGAAAAAACAAACTCTTCGGAACAAAATAATTTCTCCCAATGAAGGATCTTTCGTTTGGAATAAAAAGAAAAGATCTTTTCGGCGCGTTTACCGCCTCTCGAGGGAAGCGGGAAACGCGTATGTCTCGTCCTCTTCGTCCAAAGGGAAACCTGTCTCGTTCCACGAAGGCCCAGCTCTCTGTTTCGCCTTTAAGATCCCCAGATCCTATTCCTACGAGTGTCAGGACAATAACACCTTTGCCCAGCACTGGCCTTCAGTCCCGACGCAGAAGAAAGAGGATTTTATACTCACGTACACACACGTCGCGTTCACAACACTCACGAACAGTATGATACAAGTAGGCAAGATATACCGAGTGCCCCGGGACTACTGCCCCCGTCGAGGACCATGAAGACTCGTCAGAGAGTTCGAACGAACAACTTTTGCTTCGCGGCTTCGATCGAAACGTAAGCGCGATGGAAAATGGAGTGCGTTATTTCGCGTGGCAAGCTGCGCAGGTGGAAAACAAAATCCAACTTTGAGAGAACATTTTAACAGAATTGTAGCTTGTCTTACGAAGGTAACGATCGAGAAGTTTGTAACTGGAAAGGAGTGACAGTTTCGGGACACTCAATACGCGACGTACCCGCGCGGGGGAAAAAGTTCCTTTATCCTCCCCTCCGCGCGTAATGTATATTTACAAGAGCAGAAAAAGCTACGAATATAATTTTATATACGATATATATATATATCTATATGTATATGTGTAATGTGTATGTATAACCGTGGTGCAACTGACGTAACGTCTTGCCGATAATTATCACATGATCTTTAACATTATAACTCGACTTCTCACTGGTCTCGAGTCAAAAAGTTAACACAGGTGGAACGAGATTGATAGACGTCACAAATGACAGATTCGCAAAACCATTAACGAAGAAAGGGGTATTTTTTAGTAGAACAGTTGGAAAAACAATATGTCGTCGAATTTGATTGACATATCTAATTATTTCATCATAGATTTCGACTAAAGGCGACGCTCCGAAAGTCAAGAGCGCAAAATCTATCTAATTGTTTCGAGATCTTGTTGCGTTGAACCCCCCGCACGATTTATTTCAGCGGAATCGCGATGATAACCATCAACAGGCGAGACGTTGCCGTTACGATAAAATCCCTAACTTTAGAGGCCAGCTCATAGAAACAAAATACCACTGCGGAGAATAAAACACGCTCCTCTCTCCTCTTCTATAAAACAAGAAACGCGTAGCCTATGTTTAGGTACATATGTATAGCGGTCTAATAGAGAGTGTGTCTACGTTACGTTAGGTCGGGTTACTTTCTTTGGATCTATTATGGGGAGAGCTTTACAATTATTCGCTCGTACTACGAGTTTCGCGACCGCGGGGGATAAAAACTGCGAAGTTCAGGCACTGAATTAACTCAAAGCACTCGCGAGTCAATCCTCGAGGATCCGCGCGACGATGGGCGAGTGGTCCTGAAGTCCGATCCGACGCGAGCGAAGCGGATTCCCAGACGGTCGAGGGACCTCTTCTTTTCGCCCAGGTCCAACACGCCGGCGATAATCGCCGTGCCGGTACAGTGTGTATAGTGCTAGTTGATTAACAACTTATTTTGTTTGCTTCTCGCGACGCTTCTTAGTATTGACGAGTAGGTATGAATGTGTGCTGCGCCCTCGGCCGTAAGGCTTGACGGGTATCGCTAAGAGAAACCGTAGAGGCAAGCTTTCGTGATATCTAAATAATTTTCTTGCAAATAATTTATGAAAGGCGCCTCGTTTCACGTTCTTTCTCACACTGCCTGGGACTTGGGAAATGAATTGCGTTCGCATTGGTGCAAATGGCAACGTTTGAGGGACAGCGGAAACAATTGAAATGGTGTTACGTTGTTTGTACTCGAAACAAAGTGACGTATCTTTGGAATAAGAAGTAAACTAATTAATTAATTAAATGACATGTTCAAAGTAGAGATCAGAAGCGCGTCTTGTGAGAGCAGCCTGCGATAGTCACCGCGAAACCTTGCGCCCAAGTCACTCCGACACATAATAGAATTTTTGATATATTTACATACATGTAGAAATTATTATGCATGCCTAGATACGTCTAGCTATCACACGCGATTTGCCACGTGAACCAACCCCCCCCCCCTCCCCGACCAGTTTCGAGAACGAAATATATTTCTACAATTAGAAAAGTAATCTCATAAAAATACAGATATGTTCACTTTGACGCGCTCGCGCTTTGGTACTGGTATTGCTCCATTATTGCGGCAAAGTACTCGATCGGTGCAAAAGAAATGGTACGGCATCGAGGCGAAGAAGTTACATAAAATTAGCGTCGTTATAGTTCAGATAATTTATCAATCTCTAATTATTTAACAAAATAGGAGACGACTTTCTTTCGAAACTTTAACGATACGTGCTTTATTGATATAATTGAATAAAATTGCAAGAGACATCGTTTCGGATTTTCCGCTCAAGAATAGCAAAGGTAACTTTTTCAAAATTTTTTCGAAGACGAAAAACGCGTGTAAAAAAAGACAACATAAAGCAAGAAAGTAAAGCAGTCTCGAACATTGAAAATTTGCCGGAAAAAATCCTTGGTAGAACGGCCTTTGTTATTATCAGCCATTTTCGTCAACGTTTGTGATACTTGCATCCATTACAAAAATTATTGTGATAAAACATGTAACAAATAACGACTCTAGAATGTACAAGCGCACGCAAAAGTTCCATTTGAGTCACCGAAAGCAATTGTCGTAACGTCGGTTTCATTATTGACATGTCGTTTATGGCATTTAGTAACGAAAAATCGAAGAGGTACGAGAGTACTTTGCCAATGCAGAGCGATTCGTGGGGCAAATCGACCGCCCTTGTCACAACCCCCTGTACAATCGCCTACTTAACTTAAAGCCTTATTCCCTAGATTTCTGACGCCTTAATTAGTGATATGATATTTCCGTTCAGCAATGTAAAACGATTTTCAACACAAGCGTTTAAAAACTCAAGACTTGCCCGGCGGCAATCCGCGAGCGAAGGTCCTTGCTGACGGGAAGCCTTCGTCGCGGCCGTGAATTCTCCCTTCGATCCCTCTACACTTGTTCGCGCAATGACCTCTCGCATCCCAATTAAAGAAGAACGTTGTCTTTCCTCCCTCCTCCACAGCACCGACACACCCCGGCTGCCTTGTCACTACTTTATTTTATTTCGATGTTGCGACTAGTTGCTCTCTCCCTCTCTCTCTCTCTCTCCTCAAGGTCTTTATTCCCGACGAAGACGCCTACTACTATCCTCCCCGCGTGCTCGTCCGACCGTTCTCCATCCACTTCTCTCCACGTTTCGCGTTCTCAACGTCGTGCATCCAGCAACGTCTCCTACATCCTCGCGATTGGTATTACCAGCTGCGCGCGCGGAAGCTCGAGCCAGGACCATCGGGACTCACTGTTTGCGAACGTGAACCCGTCGCGAGAGCTCCGAGGGAATCACTTTACAAGTCGTTGCACCTGTCATCCCCGACAAACACCGACGATACTCCGAGTACGATCGAGGTCCGGCGGGACACCGGCGCGATCGGCGATTCCCCTCTGAATCTGCTCGAGCGTCCCGATCGCCGTCGCTGCCGGGAGTTCTGCCGTGCCTCGCGACGACGTCGATTCTCTCTCTCTCTTTCTCTCCAGCTCTTTCTCTCTATCTCTCTCTCTTGCCGATATAAGTGGAAGCCTGTCACGAAGACTCTCGAACACACTCCCGAGCGAAGGAGACGCGCGTCCGATCGGTTAAGGTCGCTCGGCGGCGGCCGTCGCTCTAGTACATCCCTTGCCTGAAGGGGTTGCTGTCCCCGGACGGCCGTGGATCCGGCGCGTCCGGCCTCCTGAAGGGGTTCACGTCACCCTGGGCGCCCTGCTGATCCTGGCGTGACTCGGCCGCGTAGTTCCTCTGCTGGCCGTAGTCGCCGGGCTGGCCGTAACCGCTAGCCGGCTGATTGTAAACCGGCGGCTGCTCGTAAGCGGGCTGGCCGTAACCGCCGATCGTGTTCTGCGCGCCGTAACCGCCGGCGCGTTGATCGTAACCGACCTGCCCCGCCGTCTGATAGCTCTGGTCGTAACTCTGATCGATATTCGTCTCCATGCGCGTCTGGTTCAGATGGTTGCCGATCTCGCCGGTGATCGGCCGCTGCTCCTGCAGCACGTACGTCTGGTACTCCTTATCGGGCGGGTCCTGCATCAGTATGTTCGCCTCGTCCTGGAACGGCTTGAAGTCGTAGATGTGGCGCAGGTAGTAGAGGGCCGGCACGTAGAGCAGATTCGAGAAGGCGATGCCGATGTTGAGGGCGGTGAAACCGATCGCCTCGACGACGCCGCCGGCTATGATCGGGCCCACCGCGTACGCCACGCTGTACGAGATGTCGGCGATCGCGTAGATGCTACCGTACACCGACACGTACCTAACGTCCACCAGGTAGCCCAGGGTGGGCAGCAGCGCGGTGTCGATGAGCGCGATGCCGAAGCAGATGCCGCACAGCGGTATCATGAGCACTATGTACGAGGTGCAGAACGGTATGATGAAGCAGCAGAGACCCTCGAGCGCGAGGCCGCCCGCCGCCATCAGCCACTGGTACTGCGGGTACTGCTTGGCCATCTTGACGGTGATCACGACGCCGATCACGTGCGGGAAGAAGGCCGGCAGCCAGATCATACCGATCTTCCAGTTGTCGTGCGTCATCGTGTCTTCCATCCACAGCGAGATGGTCGGCTCGAGGAAGGCGAGCGCGACGTTGGACATCATCAGAGCGCCCGCGCACACGGCGATGTACGGGTCCATCAGCAGCCGCCAGATCGGTATCGTCGACTTGGGCTCCTGACCCAAACGTTCGCGCATCTGTTCCTTGATCGGCTTCATCACCAGCAGCAGCATGAAGCCGTCCGCCAGGCTGACGAACGCCAGTATCAAGAACGGCACCTCCTTGCCGGCGAACTGGTAAAGAGCGCCCCCGAACGGCGGCGCGACCAGGCAGCCGAAGCTGATGAACGCCAGGGCGATGCCGAGCGCCTTCGTTCGTTCCGCCTCCTCCGTGAAGCGATCGGCGATCATAGCGAGGCCGGCGGTATCGGCGAACGCGGAGCCGACGCCCTGCAAGCTCCTCGCGAAGAACAGCACGCCGTAGCTCTTGCCGCACGCGAATACGCTGGTCGATAGAAACATGATGCAGAGACCGATCATCATGGGGATGTCGTAGCCGATCCGATCGATCAGCGCGCCGGAGAACGGGTTCACCATCAGCTGCACGATCGCCTTCGACGCGAACAGCACCCCCGTCGCGGAGTCCTGGCCGTGATGCTCAGGCGGCCCAGTGGTGTTGACCTCGGTCTCCTCGACCGGCCCGAACGCGCCCACGAACTTGAGGTAGTCGGGTATAATCGGCACTATCACCATGTACAGCATGTTGTCCAGTAGCAGCGCCACGGAAACGATGACCAGGATCAACTTGCGTTGAGCCTTCGGCTCTTGCAGCTTCGACCAGACAATCTCCTTGAGCTCGCCGAACTCCATGTTGAGTATCGGTATCGTCGTCATGGTTCCTAGGTACTCGCGGTGCGACCGGCGTCTTCTGGGTCTTTTTTTGTGTGTGTCTTTTAGTGGAAGGGACTAACCGCGGTCACAACCAGTCGTGCGACCTCGGGAAGCGAGCGTGACGAGGAGATCGTCGCGATTGGGGCGGCGCGCATCAGGCCGGGCCGGGGGTAACCTACAACAGATCACCGATTTGGCAACGATTAGCTCGCGGAAACAGACTTGACTTGACGCGCACGCTACGCGCGCCTCCGCGCTTCTCTACGCGACGGCAAACCGGCTTCGCGAGTACGCGCGATCGGAGAAGCGAGACTCGGGACCGAGGGAAAGAGTTGCCGAGGAGAAGATAGGGCAGCCCTGACCCGGCCTGTGGTCAGCGCGAAACGATATCCATCCACCCATCACCCAAACCCCTCCCGACCCCAACTTTCAACTGTAACCCCGCGAGCACCGTCCACTATCGTCCTGCGTGCGGAAGAGAACGCGTTTGCGGAAACGCACTACCCGCACTCGGCTCGACTTTTCTTCTGGGCCGCGCTCCCCTTCGCGCGCGTCAAAGAGAACACGATACTGGACGGAGGCTCCCCTCGCGATAAGACGTCACGAGATCGACTCTGTGTACCTGAGCCTTGGTTGTATCGCATATCGCATTACGACGGGGATAAAAACAGCACGAAAAAAAACGTTGAGAAAACAAGAGGGTCGACGTGACGTGCTTGTCGTCGGGGTCATCGCTAATCACTTCGCGGGTGTTGGTGCCGATGGGACTAGTGATTATGGACGATATTGTTCTTCGTCGAGTTTTCGATCGTTGAAACAATGACCAATTAGAAATGAAGAGTGCACGGGGTTTATTTCTGTTTTTCAGAAAATAAGAAAAATAATGTGAAAATCGAATGGTTCTAAAGATCGTTGGTGTTGAAACGTTTTACCCTCGAAACTTTTGCGTTGTCTCTTTTAGCGGCATTTATCAAAGCGAGAGTAGCTCCATGAAAAAAAAAGAATTGCGCTGAAGCATTTCTTTCTTTTAGATGCGATCTCCCTCCCTTATTTCCTCGCCTTTCATATTTTCCTGACTGCCAGGAGAGCGTCACAAACGTACGATGAAAACTGGCGGATTTAAATTATATTTGAACGATATAATGAAACAATTAGCGCTTCTCGAGGGATTTGAGGATTCGTAGAAAGTAATATCTCGCGGAAAAAATTGGCAAGTGCAGTTAATAAAAGTTGCACTCGCCAACTTTTCCCCGACATTTCAACAGTGTCTGGATTAACAGTCCACCTGACCCGATTCACTTTTTTTATCGAGAAGCGAACACTTTGCTTAGCAGCATATCGAAGGATCTTGCAGGACAGTTTCCATTATTCATTTCCTCCGTCGTTATCCTGATTCGTCAAGGATTTTTTACGATGGCAAAAGGGCGTGTGCCCCGGTCGATCGTAAATTACTGTAGTATTACGTGAATGAACATTTAAACCAGGACCATCGGGGGACCGTCCGGAACGACTCCTCGCGTATTCCTCGCGCATTTACGAAATGGCGCCTGTCAATCGTCGTCATCGCCGTGGCTCTCGTTAATGGCGCAACACGATCGATCGACGGGCTCCACCGCGGCAACGAGCCTCCCCGATGAGGAAGGCTGCGCGTGAAACGAAAAAAACAATAGCGTTTCACACCCGACTCACCGGAGTTGCTGGCGAACTTCTGCCTGAGGGAGTTGGCGAGGCGTTGGGGGCCCGCCAAGGTCGGAAGACCGGCGAGCAGGCCGCTCAGAGTCGAGGCGACGTCCGATCCGTCTTCGTCCTTCGAGTCGTTCACCGACTCCTTGGCTCCTCGCGTCCCCGGGCCCTCCACCTTTTCAGCCGAGTTCACAACCGAGTGTCTGCAACGGCGACAATATTTCCCGGCTTAAAATTCGCGGGCTGTTGAAGAGACGACGATCAGGCTCGTTCGAATGAAAGAAATGCAGGCGCGATTGCGAGTCCACGGAAACGACATTCGGTGAACTCGCGGCGCGAGTCTTCGATTTAGGTCGAGCGAAGAAAGAAGAGAAAGGAATTGATGAGACAATCGAGCGATCTGATCGCTCGTAAGTAGCTTCTTTTCACCGCATAGACATCGGGAAACATCGGAATGGGCGTTACGAGACTATATACACATCGATAATAGAGCCGTATGTGTAATTCGTGCCCCTCTCATGGGACTGACGCGTCCCGCAGGGTGGGACAGAGTCCGTCGACCTTCGGGAGTTAAAATTCATCATCATCATATTTTTAACCCGGCGCAATCGCGCGCGAGGCAGCACACCGTGCAACGCGTCGTCCGTACTCCACATATTCATACGTCCTCCTCGTATATATACTATCGACACAATTTTTACTAACCTTTCTATTATCTTATGTACGCGTTACGGATGGGCGGATTTAAATTTAGCGTTTCTGCGTCTAACTATAACATCCCGAGCCCTATACCGTGCACATTTGAGGAAGACCGGGCATTACACACGTGCGTAACTTCCCAAGGTAATTTTTCCTCCCCCTTGCCGGCGTTGCAATATAGTTATTTGGCAGCCACGTGTTATTTCGTACGCCGTTGTTTGCGGAGGGCTGCCGCGGATATCCCTATTACCCGTGTCGTTCGTGTGATCACGAGCCTCGACCAGGAACACCGGGATCCCTTCGTCGATCGGACCGCGTTAAGGACGAATCAGACTAGCAATTGCTAACTCGGGTGGGATTGGCGATTGACGACCGTCTTCTAGCCAATGAGAGCCGATTAAATCGCTGGCTGCTTTGCTCTCATTGGCTGAAGGACAGTCGTTATAATCGCCAATTCCAATTCAATCCGTGTCAACAATTGCTAGTCTGACTCGGTCTTTACGCGACGTTGCGGTGAGCTACATTCGAGGGATTTCATCTCGAGCGGCCTGAACGGGACGTTGCCTTATGAAATCTTAATAATTAATACTAAGCGGAAGGTTCACGTGACAATAAACGGACAGGAATATAACAACGTAATTCGATTTGTTGATATCTATATTAATTTGCGGAACGTTTCGCTGAGTCTTCATCGGCCGCGATAACGAAATTTATAAGATAGAGGAAAGTTCCCTATTGTGAGATGAGGCTTCCAATATGAGATAGCAGGTTTTCAGTATCCGAATTTAATCACAAATCTTTTTCCGCGACGATCACACGATCTAACGACGTGTTTTCCACTAAACAGATCTCACCCAAAGAGCGAAAAATTCATGGTGGAGCCGGCAGATGATGTCTACTAATTTAGTAGAAATCTCGCTATTTCGTATTAGGACCCTACGAGTCCTCATAATAGGGGACTTTCCTCTGTTAATTAGAAGAACAGGGCGAGAGAATTGGTCCTGACTCAATATCATCGTTTTCACCACTTTGCGGAGCAACGAACGTTACCTTACGATTACTGATCGTAATTTTTAGCGAAATAGAAATATCCCCTATTTAATTCTCGATCTAAAATATCGGGTTGCAACGGTGTCGTTGGTAGTGTAAAGTACTTTACTAGAAAACGTCGAACTGAAGCATAGGCATTTTCTGTAACAAACTGTGCCAATAGATACAGACAGAAATGATATAGCGTTACTCGAGTTACTTTCTCGAATGAAGTTCATATCACGCTAAAAGTCTAATACGTTCCAACAGCGGGGACAGACTTGAGCCGAAATATTGAGAACGCGATACTGAAATATGTTGCACGTTATGTGGTTCTCGCTCAAGTGGGGCACTTAAAGGCGAGCCGGAGAAAAGCGTGAGACTAAATCATGGAAAAATATCGTGCGCCATAAGGGTAGCTATACAGAGTGCGTCTTGCTAAAAATTTCATCAGATTGCCGTAGTCAGCGGAAGATAACGTTTCAACGCTAAACGAAGCGAACGGAAAAATTGGGCCGCAATAAGAAATGGCCGAGGAAATGAGAAGATCGTTTAACGCAATTCGATCGCTTCAGCGCGAGTCTTCTTGGTCAAAGAGGCTTCGGGAGACGAGGAGAAATTTTGAAGTAACCAGCAGACGTCGTGGGACCGAAGGGGGCAAGAACACTGGCGGATACATAGGAGTTTGGCTTGAATCGTCGCAGCGGAAGCTACCGATTCCTATCGGATGCTCTTCAGCGCGCCGGGGCGCGCGATGGAGAAATTCCACCACGGAGATGCGCGAAGAAGACGCGGGCGAGAGGAAAGGCGACACGAGAGAAGCGCAGACAGGAGCAGGGAACGAAATCGGCCGGGATACTTACTAAGACCGAAGGGCTCCCAATGGCAGGGGCGTCTCGGCGTGTCTCTCCGTCGGGGTGGCTTTGGAACGTCTGCCCTCGGAGTCCTCCCCGCCACCGGGTCGCCGCGGCGCCCTCTCTCACCGCGGTGGCGACGACGGCGGCGGCGGTTCCGCCGCGGAAGGCGCGGCAGGGCGCAGCCGCGGCCGCCAGGACCCAGGGATTGGCGGTGGCGCGGCCGTGCGTCAGCCCCCAAACCCTCCACCATCGACTCGCACGGCACCCTCCGCCGCGTCCTCTGGGGGGGGGGGGAGGGGGAGGTGGACGCGGCGGGGTAGAGCGGCGCGGAAGAGGGCTCAGGCGGGGGAGGGCGAGACCAGGTACAACGACGGTCGATGCTGCGCGGTATTTCTGGCGTCAGGTCGATATCGGCCTCACCTGTGTGCGAGGCGACTACGGTCTGCCTGCTTGCCTGCCAGCCACCCCGCTCCGAAGGGGTTCTCGAACATGCCCGTTCGCTTCTCTCTCTCTCTCTTTCTCCCCCCTGCTCCCTCCCGGCCAGTGGCTCTTCAACCGGTGGAGCGTCAACCCTCTCGCGAGCCTACCTCGCCGACGTCACCTGGCCGTCGCGCCGACACGAGGGTAAGGGCGAGATTGCGAGACCCTGCCCCGAGTGGCGGCCCGATCGTGAGTGCGGCGCGTTCAGTTTTCCAGGAGACATCGTCATCCACGCTCTTCTTCCTCCCGGCTTCACCGGACTCGGGGGGGATTACGACGGTTCGCCGACACTTTGACGCGCTCCGACGCGTTTCGGCACCGCGGTGAACGTCGCGCCGCGGCACCGGTTAGGATAATGGCCGCGGACGGCACTTCGACGCCCTTACGACCAGCTGGCACTCGCTCATCGCGTTTGATCACCGAGTTGACCAAACGCCATTTGTTCGCGCTCGTTTATTCTCGGCGAGACTATAACTTGCGAAGTAAATCCGCTCGCAGTTTTCCTCGGTAGATTAGAGCATTTATAGTAATACGGTTCCATTGAAGCTGAAGAATTCGATATTGACTGCAGCATTGAAGTCTCAGAGGACACCGCTTTTTTACTCCCGATGTAAAACGGCATCCTCGATGTGTCTGTCGATGTGAAATGGCAGACATGGCGAAGCGATAACAGATTGAAGTCTCTTCTCTGTACTATTCGATGCGCGTTGATGGTAGAAGCCGTGAAATAAAATTAAGTTGTCGATTGTTCACAATCTTCGTATTCCGTAGAGAGACGCTGGCGAAATCAATGCTAATCACGTTGGCGATTACTCTTCGTTTTTCGCGTCGCCGAGAAACGTTGAAAGGACACGGCGAAGTCAATGGCAGCCGGGTAGCTGCGCACGAGCGGGTTGAGGATCAGTAGTGTTCGCAGGGAGGTCAAAAGTCGGGTGACCGAGGCTGCGTAACAGGTTCGCGCTGCCGTAGTCGCTCAACTCCTGCGTAAACCGATCAATTTTAATCATCGTAGATAAGGTCAAAGGTACTTTCATATCGGTTGCGAGCGAAAACGAGCGCGCGTTACTCGACACGCTATCGAAAGCTCCGTGTTCAACGATCGCTTACGTTTAATACTGAAAGGCTCCGATTGTTTTCACGAGCGCGACGTCTCGTGTCATTTACATATTTTTATTTTATTTCCATCCGTGTCTCTTACTAGAATTGTTTAGTTCTTGACACAGGTTTCGTTGTATTTTGTTATTGCACGAACGAAATTATTCGCGAGCGTTTAATACGATTTTATAAATTGAACGTGCAGGTAATAACTTTATTAATTATACTCAGCGGAGAGAAATCTTTGTAATAATTCCCAACAAGGACGCACAAGCGAACTTCCTATTCGGAGGAAGTGTCGTCCATTGAAGTTTCCCCATGTTGAATACAAGGCTATGAAGCTAAGGAGTTTCTAGGAGTCTCCAGAGAAGTTTTACGAAACAAGTATACACCATCTATTATTATACTTCCAGCCGTCACCCGAACTAAAGCTGGCTCCTCCGTGGTCTATCAACCGCAAAATCTCGGGGAACAGCTTTAAACAAGTAACCGAGATAGTTAAACAAAGTTCCAAATTTTTCATCGTTTTGCAAGCCTCGAAATCAACATCGCTTTACAATTCTCAAAAATATTTCGCGCCATGCGAAATGTTACAAATATAAAAACAATTTTTCTCGCCAGTCCAATTTTTTAAACCGAACAATCCAAGTGTACCCACCAGTCAGCTCGACTGAAATCGTGCGAATTGATTTTTTAATATTTACTGCGTTGAAGATGACTCAGCGGAGTCGAAACGTTAATCAAATGTCATCATGAATTTGTTGTTCACAAATTGTCATTGCAATTGAATATAGTTAATTACGTAACTCGCGTAAGTATACCGCGTTACACTCTTATTGTACAATTGCTTTTTGCATTTAAAATAATTTTAACATGAAGAAATATTTAAAATGATCACGGAATTTGACGAATCGTTTAACGCCG